TCGGGTCCGAAATGCGAGTGTCCGTCTGAGAATTTTGTTCCTATAGATGTGAATGGTGGTATGAGAAAAGGTTGTAGGAGAAAAGTGGAGCTTGAAGACTGTCATGGGAACGAAGCAATGCTTGATTTGGAGCACACTAGGTTCTTGACATACCCACCTGAAGTGACTTCTCAGCGTTTTACTCTTGGGATTGAGGCGTGTCGTGTCAATTGTTTTGTTGGGGGTTCTTGTGTTGCTTCTGTTCCGATGGCTGATGGATCTGGTGTTTGTTTCCTTAAGCCACCTGGTTTTGTTTGTGGCTACAAAAACCCTTCACTTCCCACTACCTCTTCTTTGAAGGTTTGTAAACCAGTTTTGCCTCATTCTTCTGTGACAACAGCGAAGAAAAGTGAGAAACGATGGAAAATCCATGCGTGGATCATTGCGGTTGTTGTCTTAGCCACTCTTGTGGGTTTGGTTTTGATAGAAGGAGTTCTGTGGTGGTGGTGCTGTAGAAATAGTCTTAAGTTTGGAGCTTTGTCGTCACATCACACTTTACTTGAGTACGCATCTAGTGCACCCATGAGGTTCTCTTACAAGGAGCTGCAGCGCTGCACCAAAGGTTTCAAGGAGAAGCTTGGTGCTGGAGGTTTTGGCGCTGTGTACAAAGGTATGCTCTCAAACAGAACCGTGATTGGTGTGAAACGACTGGAGGGGAGAGAGCAAGGAGAAGCAGTTTAGAATGGAGGTTGCCACCATAGGTAGCACACATCATTTGAATTTAGTCAGGTTGATAGGTTTCTGTTCCCAAGGACGTCACAGGCTTCTCGTCTATGAGTTTATGAAAAATGGGTCGCTCGACAACTTCCTTTTCGTAGCAGAATCTGGGAGATTGTTGAATTGGGAAAACCGGTTTTCCATTGCTCTCGGAACTGCCAAGGCAATTCTTTACCTCCATGAGGAGTGCCCTGATTGCATTGTACACTGTGATATTAAACCTGAGAACATTCTCTTGGATGAAAACTTCAATGCCAAAGTGTCAGATTTTGGACTTGCCAAACTCATGCCAAACGACACTAGATACCAGAACCTCAGCTGTATCAGAGGAACCAGAGGATATCTAGCCCCAGAATGGCTTGCAAATCTTCCAATAACCTCAAAATCTGATATCTACAGCTACGGAATGGTTCTATTAGAGATTGTGAGCGGAAGTCGGAATTTTGAAGTCTCGGAAGAAACAAACAATAAGAAATTCTCAGACTGGGCGTACGAGGAATTCGAGAAGGGTAACAATAAAGTAATATTAGACAAGTGTCTTCACTCAGATGAAACAGTTGATATGGAACAGGTGACAAGGATGGTTCAGGCTAGTTTCTTGTGCATACAAAAGCATCCGTCTCAAAGGCCCTCCATGGGGAAAGTAGTGCAGTTGTTAGAAGGAATCGTGGAGATGAGCAAGCCGGTCGCTCCAAATGCGTTAGCCGACGATCAGTTGCAGGAGATAGCTTGAATATACGTGGCTGCTATGCGAGCAGTGAGATTCCTTCAGGTTGCATCAGGTGAGCTCCCTTTCTATTGCCTTCTTCCTCACAAATTGCGGTAATAAAAGCAGAAGGAGCTTCTATCTTTTAAACTATTGAGCAAGAATCATGATCTGATATAAAGCATATGGAGTTTCCAACCAAAATCTCTGAGAAGAAACAGCAAGGAGTTTAGTATGGGAACTTGATAATACTTCAAATCTGAAACTTTAAGGGCTCTTGTTCCCTTAGATGTGTTCATTAATATTATCCGGAGGAGTCCAAGGTTAGAGAGAAATGATACGCACAACAATAAAGCAAAGCAGAGATCTAAACAACAATGAGTCCCAAGGTAAGTTCAGCTATGACCAAAATCAGATATCTCTAAAATCTTTTCGTATTATCTATCTTTTTCATCGTTTCGCTCCTGCTATTCTTTTCCGTTTCCATTATATCTGACTTTTGTGTCTTTCTTCGTGATGCTTAAGCGCATAGATGGAGCTGGGGAATGGGAAAGTTTCTTTCAGGAAGAATTCGGAAAATGAGGATCAGTAATTGCTGAGGCAAGGGCTTGATTTTGTGAAGAATACAGAAGAAAGGTTGGGATCACATTATCGTTCTAACAGGTAACCACTTCCCTCTTTCCTTTTTGTCAAAAATGATTTTTCTTGCATAGGTAAGGTTTTACTGATTCCTTGAAATGTAGTGCCTCATGGATTTTTAAATCATAAATCTTATAGTTGCAGAAATCCATTTGAGACTTGTTCTTCATCTTTGAAAACGCATGTCTCTGTTGCTTGTTTGAAAACGAAAGAAACATGCCTCATATAAATGTCTAGTCAAACAATCCTTAGCACAAACTATGAATCACGAATATGGGACAATCATCTAATACATATCTACTAAATATAGCACCAAATCACTACTCAAGTTCTAGTCCGAATAATGACCTGTGAGAGCTAGGACCAGACACATTATCACTTAATCATCAAAGAACACGACAAGGGTTGCTCATGTCCCATGTGTACTGTTTCAGGTAGTCAATGATCCCGCATACTAGTTCACGCCTCTCTAAGTCTACACCCACGAGCAACGAGTAGTCCATTACAACATGTATATATTGAATAATGTAACAAAAAATTTAGAAGATTTAGAGTAATGAGGTATAAAGAGCAATGAGAAACTCACATCTAGGAAGTCAATATCGTTCTTGACCACACTTTGGAGGTTATATTTTGAGATCTTGCTGAAGTAAACTGGGGAATTGTTCATCTCTTTGAAAAATTTAGGTCCTAGCATAACCTCTTCTACACCGTCACCAATAGTGGTAGTAATAAACCGAGTGAGTAGAGGGCCTTTAAGATTGTACTCATGAGAAATAGTCCTACCAAAGTTGAGATTCTCCATCACCATCAAGTTGTGTTGTATCTCTCTTCGACCATTCGGCTGCATTATAATTACCTACATTTGTGATCGAGAATAAGTTAAATTTAGATCGTAAACTCTACTAAAGGCATGGTTAAGTACTAATCAGAAGAAAGTTTTAATAGATTACCTGGTAGATCCCTAAAACTTTTGCCAGGCAAGTTTGGTTGCCTAATTCATAAGTGTCTTTCATGTACTTGAAATATTCTGGACCAAATCTTACAAATGATTCATACTCTATACTCTTGATCTCTTTTATAATGAACATGTCATTGAGAGTCTTGAAAAACATGGATTTTTTCCTTCCCATTTGTGGCATTCTGTTGTTCGCAGCGACTTAATGAAACTATATACTCAAGTTCTGAGAAGCCGCAATGTTTCCTGAAGTCCCCAAAACCCTCTGCATATAGACACACAACTGAATATTTGGGGTTTCCAAGCGAATTGAGTAATCCAAATGTAGCAAGAATCTCTGGAGAGGTCAGTGATTCCAACTTCCGATCATTATGAAGTGATCCATTTATACGAAATGTAAAAGGCATTCTCTTCTCATCACTGCGCAGATGGGCAAGCGCGCAAGCAATCAAACTTGAGAGCTCGTCTTCGACACAACAAAATAATGATCATCCCCTAGAGAGAGATGCAACCGAGAGCCTTCCTCGACGATTATCTTATTGACTATATCTAGGTTTTCTTGGAAACATTTACCAACAGTCTTGAATTTGAACATGTATTCTTTCTCAATTTCAACTACGCTTTTCGAGCGTAGTTCTTCAAACGAAATCCAAAACCATTTCTCGATGTAAGGCCAATTAGAGACAGAAGTTTGATCATCCTTTGAATAATCAATAACTGAAGCATCTCTGTATTGCTCACTTGATACTTCTATCAAATCAATATACCCAACTTGTAAAACCAATGAATATAGCCGATAGTTCCAGACGAGAGCTTGAAGAAAAAGTTCCCACCGAATGCGATTTAGACTAAGCAGTTTGGTTTTAGCCTTTTCAAAGAAATTCTTTATGTTTTCCTAATTTTAGGAAGAGAATTTAGTGGCCTTGTTGCATTTGAAACGAACAAAAGCATTTTATACATGTACCAAACTGAAATTGATGTAGAACAAACCTCAAATCCAGAACGCTCCTCTTGCGATATCTCCTCGATAGTAGAAAGACTTAGACCTGAATTTTTTTTCTTTGACCTTAGTTGCTTTACAAAATTAGTGACTTCGTCCAACATTAAGGTCCTTTTAGTGATAACCTTGCATACACAAAAAAAATGCATATACACACATATAAGCTGAAATCGAATTCAGAAAGAATGTGAGTATACGCGCAATCCCTTAGGTAGTGAACACAATTTGTTAGAAAAGAAACTTACACTTTGAAATTCTTTCTCGAGCCAGCTAACTCTTAGTGAAATGCCAACCTCCAGCTTCAGCGGTGGCATAACCGCCGTGTAAGTTGCGACTTGGGAGTAACTAAACATATCAACCATGTAACCAAATCTGCAGTTGCAGTACAATTTTGTGTCAATAATGGCCGAAACAGAGTTTGTTGCCATAAACTCTTGTTAGCCACATAACTTTGTAAGACACTAATTAGTTCTATTCTAACCAATGTGGGATTTGAAACAGGAACTTACACAAAAAACTGAAGTAAAGAGTGGCCAGAGGTCGACATTTTATCGAGTAGAGTTTGTTGGGAAACGCTGAGGTCCAAGAACTTTCCAATAGAGAGGTTACATGCAGCATTGGATATCAACACTTTCTTTGATACATCATGTTCGCCACGGCGACTCCACATCCATATATTTCCGTTGGCCTCACCAGGTAAGTGTTTCCCCACAGGAAGTCGCTTTAACTGGATTCTTAGCTGAATTTTTCGAAGTTCATAATAGTAGAAATGTGCTTGCGGAAATTCCTCGCATGCATTGCATCGGTTTGCCTGTATCCATAACACTTCTTGTATCAGTTTTCAGCTTCTTATACACACATTTACTCAATAGCTAGCAAAAGAGTCAAGAAAGATTGAGTGAAGTTAAATGAACCCTGTTAAACAAATTTCGCAGGAACTTCTCAAGGGTAGCATCAACGTTTTTGTAACAAGTTATGTTTCCAAAGTGGCTCGGGATCGGGTCACAGTATATCCCACTACGAGCATTCCTCTTCGACAGTAAAACACTTAAACTCGAAGAATCCAAGCCAGTCCAGTATCCTCATCCATATTCTTGTTTATCAACAGTCTAGGGTCAAATAACAATTCATGCTTTCTATCTTCCAAACAAATCCTTATAGATTCATCAAGATCACGAGTTTTTGCGTTCTGATCCGCCAAACGACCACAATATTTAGGTAGAGATGGAGAAGAAAACCCACTAGACCTCTTAATTGCATCAGAAACATATTCTTGCAATTGTGGAGTTGAGAAGAGCATTTCTTGCTGATCAACAAGGAAAGAAGTCTCTAGGATTAGATGATATGCCAATGTAACCGAATATTCAGCCACTTTTTTTACTCTTTTCAATTCATCACTGTCACTTCCTTTCAGCAATATCTGCAACATAACATTGTTTCGATACGATTACTAAACTGAAATATTTTGTATAGTAAATCATATATATTCATCCACTCACCGTGCATCCGAGGCTAGTTGGGCATCCTTCAAGAAACATCAAAGATTTACTCTTCTTTTTTCCAATTTCACCTGCAACGTTATGCTCTTCGAGAGGACTCTCAATGCGAAAAGAGTGACAATGCTTCAGGTTGTGACTAAGCAGTGAATCAGATGGTACTATTGGCGTACCAAAACAAGATGAAATCCTCTGTAGACGTTGGAAATTCAAGTCTGACACCAATGTAAGCTCTCTACGTAGAATGCGCATTAGGATATCATGCGAAACCGATTTTTCCACTGACCATAATAACATTTGGTTGGGAAGCTTCTATGAAACTAACTTGAGACATGTAACCTCTTCACTGGTTGCAAGAAAATATTATATTTTAAAACTTAACAAGTGAAAAAAAAAACTGTCAAAATTTGTAGTTGCTGAAATTTTGCTACAAAACCTCTGACTGAAACATTCTCTTGAAAGAAGATAAATCACTTGAGCACTGGCCCAATTCTCCTTTGACAAGCAATATTCGAGGATGTTCATACTTAGTTTCCATGTGTTTATGAGCAGCATGTTTTGTGAAAACCAACCCTTTGAAAACTTTACTGAAAGAAAGGGAATAATACATCAATTCAAAGTCATCAGAATAAGAAGATAAATGTGCAATTTTCAAAAACAACACATTTTATAAAAATTATCATTAAAATGGAAAAAAAAAGAGAGAGACAAACTTTAGGTTTAGGAAAGGTTTATAAAAACATAATAACGGTTCATAAATCATTTAGTGGATTTATAGAAACCTCTTCCTAAAAGTGGATTTGATTGTATCATAAAGTAGTAGATTTGCACCAAAAGTCAGTGTACGTGGTATTTGATTGTATAATAATAGTACCTCTCGTTGCAAGAACCTGTTGCTATGCATTTCACTTTGACGTATGCATTTGGATCAATGGGCTTTCTACTAATAAAGGAATTCAAAATTTGAGCAGCCTCCCATGATAATTTAGCAATGATCTCGACCCAATGAGAGGATGAGGAGGAAACAGCCCCCGATTCAAGAAGATTACTCACAATGATCTTGAATTTCGAATCTAATTCCTCTTGCATAACTGGTTGTTCCAAATATTTAAGATTTGCGTCTTCTGATGATTTGCCGAAAAAGCATGGTGTATTGAACCGAGATCTATCACAACATTCGTCGTCAAAAGGATCTGCGACGCTTCTTTCTAGTTCATCTTTTGGTGGTTCCCAAATTTTTGCCTCATCGTTATTACGTTCGTTTTTTCCTCTTACCATGTATGCGTTTATCTCCCATGTAAAACCCCTACGAATTTTTCTTACGTAGATACAAAATAGAAACGCAAATGAGATGTAAATTGCCATATTATATATGTTGAATACTAATGGGCTTATGTCATGGGCCTGATCTATATGTTTTGAGGCCCAGTTGGTGTTGTCATTATTGAGCTGTGAAGATGAAGATAACGACGTCGAAGCTCTGTTACGGTGGAGTGAGAAGTGAGCTTGGAGATGACGAAGTTTCTTGTTTTACCGTTTGCGATTAACGGAGACTTAACAGCTAACAGCTTGGAAAAAGCTTGATAAAAGGATCTCTCTTGGTTAGTGTAGTTTCCTCTAAGAGGTTGT